CGTCGACTGATAATCCTACGACCAATGGCGTCGTCAATGGCCAGATCAACCACGGCCGTCGGACGCCCTCGCTGACCAGCTTGTCCTTGACCGAGTACAGCGCCAATCCATCTCCGCCATCGGCCGACCAACATGCCGCAATCAAGAAGCTGGTCCCCGACGAATTGCTCCTGCCCAACGGCCACCCAGATGTGAGACTTCGCTACAGGTGGTGGTTCCTACTCGAATCTCGGAGATGCTGACCTGTATTTTTTAGTACATGTCTCTTATCCTCAACTCCCGCGTATATGAGGCTTGTAAGAGGACATCGCTGACTCTGGCATCCAACCTATCCAACCGTCTGCAGTGCAATGGTAAGACCTTCTTATTTCCACCTCTTGACCTATCCATCGTGCCATCAGTTCTCCAATCTTCCTCCTCCGACAGTTACAACTTTTTAAGTCTCTTTTATCTAAGATGGAAAACTGCCCCTCTCCCTTCAAATGTATATCCTTGTTATCTTCTCGCGTGCAAGCACTGAATGGTATATGTTGATGCTATGATAGTATTGCTCAAGCGCGAGGATGAGCAGCCCGTGTTCAGCTTCAAGCTTCGTGGGGCCTACAATAAGATGGCTCATCTGGACCCAGCGGAGAGCTGGAAGGGCGTTATTGCGTGCAGCGCTGGGAACCATGCACAAGGCGTAGCGTATTCTGCACGAAAGCTCAAGATACCTGCAACCATCGTCATGCCTGAGGGAACGCCCAGTATCAAGCACCAGAATGTCTCGAGAATGGGGGCAACTGTGGTTTTACACGGACAGGACTTTGATGCCGCCAAAGATGAGTGCTCTCGTCTTGAGAAGTCGCATGGCCTCATAAACATCCCCCCCTTTGACGATCCGTATGTCATTGCGGGCCAGGGTACCATTGGCCTCGAGCTCTCGATGGACACGAATCTTTCCAAAGTCGACGCAATCTTCTGCTGCGTCGGTGGAGGCGGACTTATTGCGGGCATTGGGGTATGGATCAAGCGAGTGGCTCCGCATGTCCGAGTCATCGGTGTTGAGGCAGAGGATGCCAACGCTATGGTCCAGTCCCTAGCGCAAGGAAAGCGGGTGGTGCTTAAGGAAGTCGGACTGTTCGCTGATGGGGCTGCTGTCAAGACGGTTGGAGAGGAAACTTTCCGCATCTGCCAGGAAGTTGTTGATGAGGTCGTTCAGGTTACGACCGATGAAACTTGCGCCGCCATCAAGGATGTCTTTGAAGATACTCGCTCCATCGTGGAGCCTGCCGGTGCCCTCGCCCTTGCTGGTTTGAAGAGATGGGTCAAGAATAACCCGTCCAGCAACCCCAATCGTTCCGTTATTGCGGTCACGAGCGGTGCCAACATGAACTTTGATCGTCTCCGCTTCGTTGCTGAGCGTGCTACCCTAGGCGAAGGCAAGGAAGCACTGCTCTCAGTCAGCATTCCGGAACAACCTGGTGCATTCTCCGAACTTATAAACACCATCATGCCTCATTCCGTTACCGAGTTTTCGTATCGTTACGCCACGAAAGAAATCGCAAATGTACTAGTAGGAATATCTCTTACAGCTCCGGCGGCTCAGCGTGTGACAGAGCTTGAGACACTCATTCGACGAATTAACTCCCTGGGGATGATCGCAACGGATTTGTCAGGCGATGAGCTGGCTAAGTCACACATCAGGTATTTGGTTGGCGGTCGTTCTGACGTTGAGGACGAGCGAGTATACATGTTCACTTTCCCCGAACGGCCGGGGGCACTACAGAAATTCTTGAACACTCTGCGAACAAGATACAACATTAGCCTGTTCCAATACCGAAATGGTGGCAGCGATGTTGGCAAGATTGTCGCCGGCATCCAGTGCCCTGATGCTGAACTGGCAGATTTGCAGGGCTTTTTGAAGCAGATCGGATATCCATGGCAGGACTGCACAGAGAGCCCTACTTTTAAGACCTTTCTCCGAGTCTAAGAAAAGGTATTCCGACCAAAGTAGGGCTGTCATTTTGTCTTTGGAGTTATGAGAGGGATTGTTACACGCTGTAAATTTGGTAAAATTTGGCTTGTTGTCGGTTGGCTGCGTTGAGGAATATCATCCGGTTGGCTATAAATACAAGGGGCTAAGAAGTAATCGTACATGCCCTCTAGCTGTACTACTTATACCTTACCTACTAGACTTTATTATGTTGTCTATAGAGATCGGCTCTACGACAGGTGAAAGTTTCTATAGCGATTTTCCAACGGCTATGCTTTTACAACGTGCTCTTGGTATTCACTGGTAAGAGTGGCTACGGTTTAGGATGTAATTATTGACTTGTGCTGCAATGAAGGAGGATTTATTGCCTCTTCTGCGCCTATTTGGATAACCTGAAATTTGGCATTACTTCGCTGGCCCTAAAGAGTGGCTCGTTCGCCATCCTGAACACCGTCCGTGTCCGCAATCCTGAAGACAAGCTTCTTCGCGTTGACCTTGCCCGCCTTGAGTTGTTCCAGTGCGTGCTGTACGCCGCTCAGTCCGCCAGGGATGACCTCGGTAGGCTGGGCCGCAAACCAACCTTCCTCGAGGCCACGTGCCAGATACCGTATGAAGACGTAGCCAAAATCCCGATCCTCCCCGTGGACTGACCCAACTTGGGTGGTGCTCTGCTGGACACTGGCAGGAATGCCCTCGTACTTTTTGCCGGGCAGCACCAGGGTGATCTTGGATCCCGGCTCGAGAACTTTACTCAAGTTGATATAGCTATTCTTCTCTGAGACGGCATCGAAAGCGTGAAATAGCTTGGCCCCGCCAAGTGCGGTACGGATGGCCTGGACAACGGCTTCATCGCCCGACCGATAGTCCACGACAGCATCTCCCTTGCTGGGGTCGATCATTGAACGCACATGGTCCCGCGAGTTCCCCGCCACGCAGATCAGGGGATGGATGTTGCTCTTCCGGGCGAGCTGCACCACGTACGCCCCCACTGCCGAGGCCGCGCCGTAGATTACCAAGGGTAGCGGCTCCGTTGCTGGTTTCCAAGGCACCGGTAGGCCCAGACGCTGGTAAAGCCCAACGGAGGCGGTGAGGCCCGCTAGGGGTATAGCAGCACCTTCTGTATGCGGGGAACAAATGGGATCGCTGGTCAGCATTTGCAGCAAGAGAGTACCGCACCTCCGGGCAACTTACGCTCAAAACTGGTGTTCTTGGGCAAGAAGGCCACCGTGCTCGCGGGCGCTACAGCGTATTCTGCCCAAGCTCCTCTAGGTGTCATCATCTGGTGGAACGCAAAGACTCTGTCACCTGTACGCAATGTTGTCAGCCTAATTGGCCATGACAGTAATCATGTGATGTTGCCCGTGCCTAAAGACATTCGCCCCAGGAAAGTCATATCGGGAAGCAATCTGCCCTTTAATCCTGCCGCGCCTCTTACCGTGCAATGTGACTTGCACTATTCCCAATGATCGTCATGTGAAAGACATACTGCTGCGAGTCTATTGTGCTGAATGTAGACTCCAGGTCTCTGCTCAAAACAGTGGAAAACGGGGAGAATGGCAATGCAGCTGAACAGGATGGGAATTACTAACCGGGTTTGAACTCAGAAACGTTACTTCCCACTGCGTGCACTACGCCAGCGATATCATCACCTTGGTTGGAAGCATAATCGAGAAATTCTGGTACTTTCCAATCCTTAGGATTGGACCCAGCAACGACAACCTTGATAAGAACGTCGTCAGGACCGGGCTCGGGAATTGGAGAATTCACGACCTTGACCGTCGTGCCTACAGCAACATGTTATTGGCTTAGCCGGTGCTCGGAGACCTTTGTTCGTACATACCCTTAGATACAAGTGCTTCTTTCATGATGGCTTGCTCTTTGTGTGTTCAATTCTGGTCGCGAACTTTGTCTCTCCCTTGGTAGGTGTTTTATGATCAAGTGTGTATGTCTACTCTTTGCCGCCGCCGCCTAGATAGTTAAGAGTGTGCGGATGATATGAAGCGGGCAGTGGAGCAGGAATTCCTCGAAGTATTAAAAATAACCTGGAACTCCTCCCTATTAGTCTATTGGCTGTTATATCCAAGTACATAGGTAGTTAAGTTAGGTATCCAACCAAGTTGGGTCCCTCCCCCCACCGCCGCCCCCGCCTCTACGTCTAGTTTGCCGAAATAGCCCAAGGGAACGGAGCTCCGCACTTGTCCGCACCGCTCCGGTAGATTATCAATCAATACGTCGAATTACATGACGCTTTCATGGCGTCAACGGCCCGATGTAGTGGTGGGACAGGGGCCCCTCGGAGTCCTATTGAAGCCCTTAAGTCCGTGCAGCCGAGGAACAAGACCAGATTAGGAAGAAAAAAATTGGTCCATTGATTGAGGACGTCTGCTTTTCTACGAGGGGTTGGTACAATGCGCAAAGTAGCATCTACACCAAACCACCCAGAGTGGGCTTTTTGTCTATCATGACGCGCAGGTGCTGGTGCTCCTTTTCTCTTTCGGATAAAGGTGAGAAGCCTTGACCAATGTGGTGCGATCACAGTTCATGTCAGAATAGCTTGATGGGTAGGCTTAGATCCAATTCCAGGACTGTAATTAATAATCCTTCTGAGGTTAGGCTTATATTTTTCTTCAGTAACCTTTAGAGAAAAGGGAAGGGAAATGATCAATTAATTTACGTGAGCGGACAGCTTAACAAATAGACCTGCCCCTTGCTCGCAAAAGGTATACACAGTTCTCTCTTCTAAGATGGTTATTAAAAACTTGTAAGAAAACAACTAAGACGCGGTAAAGAAGGTACATCTGGGAACTATCATACCACACCGACGTCTTAAAGAAGATAAAAAAGCCTACTTGTCAGGTTAGGGAGTGTCTGATTGACTGGATGAAGAAAACTTGCTGTGGAGTGGAGGCTTCTACCATTTAGTCTGTTATGGTGTTTGTCGTCCCCTTCATAGTTTAAGATTAAGTTTCTCGCTCCACAACAAATAACCAACACCGACTGGTCAGAAAATGGCCGGATCAGAATCGCTCGGTTAGCTCAGTTGGTTAGAGCGTCGTACTAATATACTCCTTCCACGGATATAATTAGTGTATGCGAAGGTCATGAGTTCAAGCCTCATACTGAGCATTTCTTTTTTCTCACTCTACAAGTGCACCGTCGTTGTTTGATCCATAATTCGACTTTATCCAAGGATCGATTCCGGACTGAGATAAAATATTTGGTCAACCAATTTTTTTCTCCCCCTCAACATCAAGAGCACTCTCTCCGGCTTCTGGTTTCAGGCACTGTTGCTTCATACAACATATTCCGTGGCTGTATATATATCTCCATTCGATCCCCTTATTCAGCAGCTTTCGCGCCTTGTGTAAACGGAGTGGCTTGTATAACTCACTGTACCGACGCTTCAACATGCTTGCGCAGCTATGAATTGTTGTGCCGAAAAGGACCTTGGCCTTAGTTTAGCTAGGCCCTGCACTTTGCCATTAGTACTCCTTATATCGATAAATTCTATCTGTACACTGTGTTTGTCTCTGAGCTATTGTTACATGCTAGTTTGCACGAATTTCCCGAGACCTTGATTCCAGCTTCGACCTTTTCGTCTACCTTGAAACACCTCTTCCAGTGAATCAGCGATTAGCTTAGACAATGCTATGCATCACCGATTCTACGGTGGTATGCAAAAATCAATCCAGCTACCGAGATAATCAAGAGGATTCCGGCTGCTGTCTTGGAACTCGTGGTCCTTGTAGATCTTCTCGAACTCGACGAAGCTAAGTTTCCCCCAACCACCTCGTTCCTTGGCCTCTTCTTCCGCAAGATCCAAAATTCTCCACTCTTCCAGTGTCGACTCGGCTATGTTTTCGTCATCATCCTCCTCATTCCCACCCTTTCCGCCATGCACTTTGTCGGTCTTCTCTGTAGATGCGTAGGCTTCGTCTATTTCTACGTCAATATTATTATTGACAGCAGATTGCGAATAAACCCCATTTGTTGAGGCTTCTATTTCCTGTTTCTCCGTCTGTTTTACGTCCATAGTAGTTTCCAGCTGTCCATCTATGCCATTAGGACGGAACTGAGGCATTGTTGGATCACGGTGAACAGGATTGGTAGGAGTTTTTGTGTCAAGAACAGAGATATGCTCCCCCTCTGAAATAGTGGGGGTATCAGCTTCGTCGCGCAGAAGGGTGACAGCGCCGTTGGCCTGTTCATTACTCAGAACTCGCTCTGACGTAGTCGATTGTTCCTCCTCGGACCGAGGACTAACTGTATATCCACTAGCTGACAGGAGTTCGCCCAAACTCTGGTCCTGGATAGGACGATTGTTGGCTGTTGTTCTTCTGCGGTCCTGGGATGATGGTGAGCTATCTTGGGGCTGCAAATGTTCAAATCGATGGCGATATTTCTTGCGGTCACTCCTAGTTTCCGCACAACGGATGGCCAAGTCTTCTTTCTTCTTGAAGATTTCGTCCAGTAGTTCATTGAAAGCCTGTTGGGTGACCTGGTATAAAATCTCCTTGCCTGCGTCACGTTCAGCGTCGGGGATCTCCACCCCTCCCCACCGCTCGGGAATACTTCTGGATGAAGTGGACGGGTTAGACCGAATGTCAAAATCATCTCCATCTTCCACGAAACGGACTTTAGATGACGACCTTGAACGGGGAGAGAGTGTGTGACCGGAGGGCTTAGATGATCCGCCGATGCCGTGGAGGTTGACGAGGATATCATCGCTGTCGTCCCAGCCTTGAGGTGGAATGGCACCCTCTTCCTCATCTAGATAAAAATGTCGCCGCTTCCATCGTTCATGCAGCTGCTTCCTAGCATGCACCCTCTTGCGCTTGTCAACCCCAAGACGCTGATTGTTGGCGGCCATGGTTTGACTTGGTGCTCGAAGCTCACCTTCCCCAGACAATCGAGTTGTGAATCTGTCAGCCTCCGTTGCTGCTATGTGCCGAGAGCCTCCATCACCGTTGACATATAGTCCCAGGGTGGAGGCTATTTCGGTATCATCAGGTGTTTCCTCGCCATCTTCGTCGGATGATGTGCTCTCACTGTCGTCATTCTCCTCGGGTAGTGGGTGGTTGATGGCTGTATCATTCCGAATTGAGGCGATAATATCATCTAGCTGGGATGCATCGCCGTTTATAACGGAAGTCAAGTCTACCATGTTGTGAGGTGGGTTGATGATGCCGGATATATATCGTGACTCCCCACTAGGTGAACGAGGGTGTCGAGATGATGGACCAAACGATTCGGTGAAAAAACTCCGGTTGCTGTTGCGAGCAAACAGGCCAGTCAGAATGTCTTCCCGGCTAGAAATATCTGGCTTGTCCTCACTAACCACGCCTACTTTTCCATCGTGGATGTTGACGTCCCCGTTAGAGTGGAAAACCTTGCCTTCCATAAGTCTCGAATGGTCTGCAGGAGGAACTCTCCCTTCACGACCAAAGAGACTGCTCAGCGGGGCGCTGCTGCTTACCAGCTGCTGCGCCTCTGTCGTCGTCATCATGTGGTCGTCGAGGCCGTCCAGAATATCACGATGCATTTGCTTGTACAGAACATAGTACGCACGAAATACACGTAGGAAGTCCTTCCTGTTCACGTAACCATCTCCATCGATGTCGTAACCCTCAAATGTCCTCTTGAGTTTATCCTTTCTTTTCCGGTAGGAAACCCCGTGTAGAAACTCCTCAAAACCTATCAAGTCATCCTTGTTGGTATCGTAAAAGGCAAACATCCGATCGTAAATGAGGTTCGGGGTAGTGTGGCGATATCCTCCTGAGGGCACGAGACAGCGTTCGAAAGTTTTACGGTCCATAGCCAAATACAGTCCATCTGGATCATCCCTCCATTCGGTATTGGCTAGAAAAGTCCACTGCTCCCAGTATGCATCGAGCTCGACTCGTTCGAACCCGGTCTCTTGAGACCATTTGAAGAGTAAATATCTGGGTAAGGCACGTATAGAGTTGTCGGGATCTCCGGGGTACCATGCGGGTTGCACCTGGCGTGGGCAGAAAGGAGGAGCCGGGATCCGAACTTTGTAGAAGACATGGGTTTTGTTGTGCAATCCTTGACTTTCACACACCTCACAAAGGTCAAAATCGGCACAGTTGGCGCAGCGATAACGAATGCCACGAATCGGAACCATTCCGCACCCGTTACATTGGCAACCACGGTGGACGTAAGCATTGCGCCGGGCATTATCTTCGGAAACGCGGAAGAGGAGGGTGACGATATTTTCACCCGTGCGTTGCCTCGTGTCGAGATTGGTATCATTGCCCCATTCATCGTCATTTGGGCCATCACTGGCCACAACTTCTAAGAGAGGCACAAGTTGGTTGGCATCGGAATTCTCATCGCCGTGTGTTTCGGATTCGGAGGAATCGTCGCGTCGCAAGGTTTGATGCCGAGCTCGTCGCACAGCGTTGCTGCGATGAAGTCCGAGTCGAGATCCCGAGATATCACCCTCGTCAGTCTGGGATATATGATTATGGTAGAGGTAGTAGCCAACAGAAGCTGCCGTAGCTATGGCAGAAATAATGGCCACGGCAACCCGGGGCCGCGTCAACGTCGAGGTTGTGGGAGACGTTGAAGACATAGTGTGTTCTGAAAGTTAGGACAGTTCATAGCGTAAATCAGCACCCAAACACGACGTGTAACGCCGAAAGTCAGGCGCCTATGAAAGCTGCACAGCTTACGACGGCTGCGATGGACATTGTTTCATGGCTGTGTGCTGGTCGTTGGTGGTGAGAGAATGGCCACTGGCAGCCTCAGGAAGTTTGTCGATCATCCCGTAGAAGCTCCCAGCTCTGGTGGGCGGTGAGACGCAGCAGATTACATATCAGCCTCAACCCCACAATGCTTACCGTTGGAACTGTGTAGGTCTATTTAATCAATAAGTGGCTTTACATCTGTTTTGAGCATCGGGGTTTTCTAAGGTTTATCTCCTTTCGAATAATTTAGTACCTCCATTTAAACTTTAATTGTTAAACTGATACGGTTCAATAAACGGTTCCTGAGGATAGGGCAGTTCAGCTGCTTCACTGGCAGTATAACAGCAATGACCTCAAATATAGATAAACCAGAACATACGGAATCTGCCCTCGTCGGTTATTGGGATAATTAGATGGTCAATGTATCGGCACGTCCATTCTTAAATAAGACACTTAGGTGGACATCGGCAGAGTCTGAGCTTAGATTAATTCCATGACCTGCTGATATTGTGATTAAACTCACGATCCGCAGAACGTTGTGCCGAATCAGGTGACACTTATTTGAGGTCCTGTCGCCATCCATGCTTGCGATTCAACCTAATTTTGGTACAGATTAATATATGCTGATACTACGGGAGAACCTAGGGTTCCGCGAGATGGGGAAATGGTGAATGTATGTAGCGGAAGTAAGTCGATGTGAGGGTGTCTGCTCAAGGATGCCATGCTGCCTGTCGTTTACTCAGCTGCAACTTCATATAAGTAGCCCACCAGTACGGCTGGTTCTTCACAAATGATCGGTGGCACGAAACGCGAGTAATAGTCTAAGTTATTGGCTTATAAACTAAAATGGCCAATTATATCTCGAAGCTTATTCTGCTTGCATCCTCCGCAACATGAACATCGCGTTTATCTTCTACAGGAAAATGCAAGCCAGGAGGGTGGAGCTAATGCAGTCTCGCCTAAGACGCGCCCAGGTTGGGAGTTTGGTGGATCAAACTCCCTGCCGCGTGTTTATTACTCTGTTGGTACAATGATCGGAGGCACGCATTCATGTCCGGGCGCCTTTGCTCGTGTCAGCTCATGATCGTACACATACACAATACAGGAGTTCAACGTCCAGGTTCTGGGACCAATCATTATGCACAAATCTTCGCAGCGAAACCTGTGCAGAACTATCATCTGAACTGCTTAAGTTACCAAATATATATTTACGTACGAAGTCTAGAACCCTGAGGCGTGGAGGCGGGTCGGGCCTCCCTAACACCTGGCTCTGCTTTGTTATTAGTGGACAGGGGCTGTGGAGGGTGACGTAGGCCGCTAAGGAGTGGTTGGGTTAGCGTACGGTATTTGCTGGATGTCCCTATGTGGTGGTTGTACAGCCACCACCCCGTCTGCCGCCACGAGGACTGCGAGGGG